GAGACATTCCTGTACCTTCTGCTGGAACACCTGAGCATCAGTCCCTGGAGACCTGGATGGGCAGGATTTAGGTAGCCTGCTTTGAGCCAGCTGGGATCCACATGCCTCAGATGAGCTGAGTATAACATCCTTAGTGTAAGCCAGAGAAACCTGAATTGTTTTCTGCAGAGTTTGAACCCCTGAGGGAAAGGAGCCAGGAAAGGAAAAGAAGGGGGTTAAGTATGGGGAGTTTTCAGGGTGTGAGGAAATCTGCTTGCATCTTGCCCCTAGCTTCCAAAGAAGCAGGACTTCATGCAGGCACCACCTCTGCAAAGACTGGCTCCACCACCTTTTATTAAGCCATTTTATATCAGTGCCATTGCCGTTTCATCTCCTCAATTCCTGCTCCACTCTAGTAGTACCAGTGCTCTTCCCAAAATGAAGCAATTACTTCTCTAACTGTTTTGCTTTTGAGACCAACACAGTGGTGCTGATCTTAGCTAATTTAGGCTGCTGTGGAACTATACCTCAAAGGATTTATCTTTCCTGCTGAATCTCAGCTGGGAACTCTGTTTGGCAGAAACCCACCTGACAAGTTGTATTTTAAAAAAATTTAAAATATCAGAAACTTGAAAATTAGTTTAAGAGCAAGAGAGTTTGCTCTTGATTTTGTAGAAATTACTTCTTTAAGAAAACAAGGTCATCTGCATAGCCTGCTCTCATTTGCAATGAATATTTCTAAGCTCTCAGAACAGCTATTCATGTGCACAGCTTGCACATACAGTTACAAGGCAACCACTAAGTAATGAGAATTACTAGTTTTTGTAGCAGCTGTTAATGCTCAAAATGAGAAAGTCTTATAATTCAGCATCTACTTCAAGTCCAGAAAACTTTTTTGCTGCTGTTACTCTTTTACAGAGGACTAACCATGAATGCTTTCTTCTGAATGCAAACGTTGTGCGTTTTCTTTCTGCCAGTAACTGGCATGTGTATTTCCTCTTACTCACATATTCCCTGTCAGAAATGCCATTAACTGCTGGAGCCCCTGGCAGCCTTTCTGGAATATCATAATCTAACAGCATTCACAGGTGCCTTCATTGCAGAGACTTGAAGGAAAAGGGTTTTTCAGTGATATTCCATGGTGAAATTGTCTCGAGCACATGGCATGGTTTAGGACATAGCAGTGGCTGTTTCATACCTCCCATGGTGCTGCTGGAGAAATTTGCCTTATCACAGTAAATGCTTTTCTCCATATACTGAGATATATCTGTGAAAAACAAAAAATTCAGGGGTGATGGTAGTGTTTCAGAATTAAATGCAATATTAAAAACAAAGGTGCTAATCAGTTACATATAAAATCTAAAACAGAAAAAAAAAACATAAAAAGAGCTGCAGAAATCAGGCCAAAATGTGCTTACAGGAAGAGATCCAAGAGGGCTTTTTTTTTTTTGGTACAGATTATTTTTGTAGTTTTAACCATGTTTCAGATTTGAAGGAGTCTCCATTCAGTCTGCCAGAAGGAATAAAAGATCCATCCAAAGGAGAATTTGAATGATCTGTTTTGGCATAGCTGACCTACAGTGTTCAAACAGATGATAACAAAGAGAAGAGTGAAGTTAAAATGCTCACCAGATCTACTTTGACATGAGTAATCTGATAGAAGCAAACCTGACAGGATACCCTGATACAAAATGGTCTCAAAGGAAAAGATCTGTTTATTTTGCCATTCATTTCAAAGCCAGGTTCAGCATTGAGGAGCTGTCCTGCTGCCTGGGTCACTGTCTCCCCTCTGCTGTTCCCAAAGGAACCACATCCTGGCAGTTGCCCACAGGCTCTAAAACCAGAAGTGAGTATGGGCAGAATGAGGAGCCTCAAATTCACTTAAATTGCTGATTTTCTTTAACTGAAAATTCTGGTGAATCTCTGGTATTGTATCTGATATCCTTAAATCAAAGAGGTACAAGAAGAAGAATCAAGAGGGTTTCTTGAGTCTAACCCACATGTTGGAGTGTGTGCTTTACACGGGACTGGGGTCTGGCCATGTGTCTTTGGTATGGAAATGGACTCATATAGTAAAGCGATTTAAGGCCTAGAGTCAAAAAATATGTATTTTATTCTTCTCTGGATTGAATTTTAAACCCACTGAAGAGAGCTGGCTGTACATCTCTAATAGAAACCTGTATGAGATGTGTGGTTAATGTCTCTTAGTTTTCAGTGGAAAAATCCGTTGCTGACCTTCTAATTCCAAATTCCCATGATATTCAGCATCAGATCTGGACCAGCCATCTACAGCAATGGACTGCAATGCCAGGCATAGTTGGGTCTAGGACATTCAGCCTCTAAGGAATTGTTTTTTACAGAAAAAGCTCTTTGGTATATATATATATATATATATTTTCCCCCTGTTCTTTTTTATAAATGAATATATACTTTTGATGAAAAATGCCTCAGAGTCTTTCATTGAACACTTAACTGCAGTAGTAAGAACAGAGGTCACTGAAGTTCTGGCCACATTTGGTGATCACCAGCTCCAGAGGAGCATCCAGCCTGAGGGTGGATGCACAGCAGGGTTCTGCCCAAAGTCACCCGTTTCTCCTGACATGCCAAGGCTGGTGTCCCACCTGCAAGGGAACAGCTCTCATTACAAAACCAAGCCAAGCCTCCTCCGTGTTTGTTCAGTTTCCAGTTACTGCTTTGATGAGCCTTTTTCAGCCAGCATGGCAAGAAGGGGAGGTTTATCCCACCCCTGGCACCTGGAGGAGCTCACTGTGTTTCTTTCAGTGCTGTTGGATATCTGGGAATCCTCTGAGGCCACTGAGCACCAGTGTAATCCCAAGTGCCTCACTACCAGTGAGCTCTCTCACAAGGCTGCCCCATAGGTGGGGAGCCAAGGAGCTGGGATATAAATTCTCCAGCAGCTTTGCACAGGACTGACCTGACAGCTGAATCCAGGGAAATTCCTTTTGCCATGAACTTGAGCAGAGATGTATTTTACCCTGAATCTCTTAAATCTTACTGTTTGAAAATCACAAGATCAGCCCTTTTTTATCTACCACAAAGCTGTATTCCCAACTGCATGACTTGATGCCTGCAGGAACAGTGAGGGGAGAAGGGCTCTGCCCTACAGCAGCTGGAAGGACACACCAACAGGGGTCAACAGAGCTGACCTACTGAGGAAGGTCAGTGAGATCACTGACCCAGTCTTCTAAGACAGTGACACAACACAGGATGGACCAAGGGCACCTTTGCTGGCAGGGGGAAGAATAAACCAGCCCTGGATCCATGGTCCATGTGAGACAACCACCAAGTAGAAGCACCCATGGAGAAACTCCTCCATCTCCAAGCTCCCTGCTTGACTCTCCAAGCTACAGCAGTCACAAAGGCAGCACACATCAATGAAAGCCTCTGTGTTCACTCTCACTCCATGGGAGCAAGAAAAAAAGGAGGCAGGGTGGCAGGTCCCCAAACCTGGTTGAGGCATCACGGTGGAAATAACTGCTGTGAGTCCCTGGTGGTTTCAGAGAGCAGTCCCAGCAGTCTCCCTCCCTCCCTCCCTCCACAGCCAGGGCAGTCAGGAGCTGGTCTTTGCCTCTGTGACCATCAGCTGCCTCCCTACAGAGCAGGGATGATAAATAACCCGGGGCTGCTGCTGCAGAAGAAAAGAGCAGAGGTACCTTGGGCTGGCACAGGGAAGGCTGGAGCTAAGGAACATTTACAGCTGAGGTTTCTGGTGAGCTGTGCTGTTCAGCAGGGACCCGCTGTGGCTCAGGAGGAAAGGACTTTCCCAGCCTGCAGCACCTGAGTGCAGGGCCCGAGGGTGGCCCATCGAGAACCCACTCTTCATGAGACAGTGTTCAGTAAAGCACAACATTTCAGCTGAAATAAAAAATACATCAAAAAAAGCACAGATGCTTACAAAAAGGGATTTTTATATTGTTGTAAAAAGAGGTGTTGGTGAAAACAACAAAGTAGATCAAACCTGCTTTTATGACAAGTAAATGAAAAACTTTGCTTCCCAAAGTGGCCGTGGTCTGGGCACTCTCCAGACACTTGGCCTCTGTTAGAGGAATAAGGGTCATTGTTTACAATGCAGAGACAAAGAAACAGCCGCAGGGATGGGAAATGCTATGGCTGCACTCAGCTGGCAGATCACTAGTGATGGCACGTTAGATTTGGCTCCAAATAAAAATTGTTTTGAAGTATTTATAAACAAACAAACAAACAAACAAACAAATAAATAAATAAATAAATAAGTGGGGTTTGGGGGGTTTTTTGTTGCAGGTTTTGGAAGGGAACCTTAAATTTGTTTTCAGCCTCTGCACTGCTTGGCTCATACATCCTCCCATGGATTTAATTTCTAAGCTGAATCCAACCTCTATTTTTCAATTTGACTACTTGCAGAAGCAAATACTCACAAAGGAATTAAAAGAAAAAAGCCAAAGTATAGAAGGAAAAGAAAAAGAAACTCAGAAAAATTAGTACATTTCCTATTGAAAAAAACTTACGGGGGGCGGGGGAGGAGGCAAAGAAAAACCCAGCTTTTTTGCAGAATGGGTGAAAAGTCCCCGACCTGGCCGTGCGTTCTCCCTGTCGCCTCCTCCGCCCTGTCCCGCCGGAGCCATCGGCGCTCCCCGGCCCCATCACGTGTCAGGGCTTGGACGGGGCCGCGGCTGCTCGCCCTGCCCGCCGAGCTCCTCTCGCTGCGAGCTGGGGCTGTGCACGGAGCCCGGACCGCTCCCAGCCCGGCCCCAGCCCGGCCCCACTCCGCTCCCAGTCCCGCTCCCAATCCCGCTCCTAGGTCCTGTCCAATCCCGCTCCCAATCCCCGCTCCCAGTTCTGTCCCAGCCCCGTCCCAGCCCTGTCTCAGTCTCGCTCCCAATCCCCGCTCCCAGCCCTGTCCCAGCCCCGCTCCCAGTCCCCGTTCGCAGCCCTGTCCCAGCCCCGTCCCAGCTCTGCTCCCAATCCCCGTTCCCGGTCCTGTCCAAACTCGCTCCCAGTCCCCGTTCCCAGTCCTGTCCCAGTCCGGTCCCAGCCCCGCTCTCCGCCAGCACCGAACGGCCCCGAGCCGCCCGCGCTGCTCCGCGCCCCCAGGGCTCCCTCGGCTCCGCTGGAAGGCTGAGCAATGCCGCTCCTAACTACATCCAGATGTGCCTCCTTGGCAGCCCTGCACAGACAGTACCGAGGGGACACAGGATCAGCGCTATCAAATGGGATGTAAGTATCTATTAAGTGTGTTTGATCTGGTGGGTTGGTGAGAGTTGTGCAGCGAGCAGGGAGGACTGGAGTCTGTCCTTACTGCTTCCCTTTGCTCCCAGCTTTTCTGTCTTGTTATTACACGCAGCAGCCTGGACCGTGATGGTTAACACGCAGCAGGGTCGGCTGCAGGCTCTGTGCACGCAGGCTCCAGCCCTGAGACATCTGCTCTACTCTTTACATTCCAAAAAACTTTCAATGTTTAGCTTGTTTTTACAGAACTGTGGGGCTTCTTCAGACAATGCCTGCAGTGCTCTGAGACAGGGTTTCCTCCCAACCACAAACATGTTCCAGTGGTGGCACTTTACATTTACAAGCTATTCTTCATCAGTAAAAGGATATGAATCTTCCCCATGTTACACTCTGGTATGCTTTGAGCAAAACATGGGAATTTTCGAGCTCTCTGGCATCACAAAGACAGAAAATAATTTAGCCCCTATGAAACATGTAGTTACAGATCATATTTTTTAATAGCTTTTGAACAGATTCTGAGAAATTTATGTGTCGGGTATAATCTTGACATTAGTGGGGTACATCTTGAAATTAGTGGGGTACTCCCTCTCCCAGCTGAGCCGGGGTGTAACAATACAGCCATGCTACTGCACTGCAATTGCTTGGGTTTGGGGTGCATTGGGCAAATTATTTATCAGAAGAGGGTCTGGGAGCTGAAGAGGTGGCGAGCTCTGCAGCCTGGGGAGGGCTGGCAAAGGAAGATGTTCATTTCAGGAGGATTGTTTCTTACCCCTTCACAAGCCTGCAAGGCTTTATTCCCCTCCTGGGGCCCAGATAATTAATGTTTGGAAGAGACACGGCAGGTTCCTCACCTTGGCTACTCAGGAGGGGCCTTGTCTCTGCAAAGCACTCAGGATGTAAGTTGAGCTGCGGAGCCCTTTGCCTTTCTGAAAATCAGACTATGGATGAGCAAAACTGCATCTGAATATAGGAAAGTACCTCTGGAGGCTGCTGAGCCTGCAGAAGGTCATTGGGCATTGCCTTCTCCTACCTCGCAGGCTGCTGAGCACTCTCGTTAGGGATGTGGTGTCGTGCTCAGAGGGAGCTGGAGTTTTCCCAGGTTGCTGGAGTTTTCCCAGGTCGCTGGGGCCCAGCCCTGGTGCCTGGCACAGCACAGCCCAGCACAGGCACTGCCCCCATGGCATGTCCTGTCCCTAAAGGGATGGAGAGCATCACACGGTGCTCAAATGAGCTGCAGCCCCCAGACTGTGCCACGTGTGCCTGAGTGACTGACACTGGGCCAGCAGGGCGAGGGGAGCAGGGTGCTGGCAGCCAGCCTTCCCTGGAGCTCAGTCCTGCAGGCAGCTGGTCCTGCTCAGGCTCAGCAAGGCTCCCATGGGACCACACCAGTCCCCAGCGAGGAGAGACAAGTTCCTGTCTGGGACCCCTGCACATGGAAGCAGACATCTCAACAGCCTGCACACAGCAGCTCTGCAGCTCCTCTGTGTTTGGGTTTGTACACTTCATAAAAGCTTCGTGACTGGGGTGGAAGGTGAAAGGAGGCAACTGCAGCAGCCGTTTGCAAGCAGTTATCCAACGTGACCAGCATTGCAAAGGGAAGGCTGGCAGTGCCAACAGGAGAAACTGGGAAGCTGATCAAACTACATATTTGAGGACTGGGGCAAGCAGATAAATAAGGCACCCTGTCCTGTAACAGCATGGAACTTATCCATTAGTTTGCTCTGGCCTGGAAAAAAAATTCAAAAATGCCCTGAAAAGCAGCTCTGACAGGAAAGTTGGAAATTGTCTTTGGAGCAGGGCCTGCATTTTTGTTACCTGCTTCCTCAGTATTTGACTCAACAGAGCTTTTGCCTCCAGGTGCTGCAGCAAGTCACAGCAGCAGTGATGCTGCAGTGCTGTGACTGTGGCACTGCCAGCAGTGTCCCAGCTGTGCCATCGTGTGCAGCTGAGCACTGAGCCTCTGCCCCTCTCACTGTGCTCCCTTGGTTCTGGTTCATGAAGCCAATTCCTGGGATAGCTCTCAAGACACTCAGCTAATTAAACCCCACAGCCTGCTCTCTGTTTATGGACTTCAGAACTTGTAAGCAGCTGAATGAGATTTTATCTGGTAAGGCAGCACAGTGAGGGTTTTGGTTACTTCATTTCTCTAGGGCTTTGCACTTACCAACACGCCATAAGGGGTCTTTGTATTTCAGCCACCTCTGTCTTCTAATCAAGAAGATCAAATAATTCAGCATCACTTTATAATCCTGTCACTCCAAATGAGACCTCTTCACAAACACCCTGAAATGCAGAGGAGTTGTTGAACACCAGGGCCACTTAAAGCAATAACTTTGATGAGGTTATTGACTTTGCCGGGGGAGGGGATAGAAAAAGAAAGAAAGAAACAAACAAACCCAAAGCCCCAAAATCATGCAGGAATAAAAGCTATTACATGACACCCAAACACAGAAGTGGAACACAGTTTCTTCCCCTCCTCCAACACATAGAGCTACTTTACCTCTTCAAACAATTCAAACCCAGCTTATATGATGAAACTCAAGTTGTTTCACCCAAGTTTTTGTATGTGGGGCAGAACAAACCCCACCTACATGACACTACATGTGTCAGTGCTGGAAGCTGACACATTTCCCTGTGGGTGCCCTAAAGAACCCAGATTAGGTTTTCCAAGCACAAGATTGAGAACTTGAAGCCTTGGCCTTTGCACTTCATGTTCCTGTAGAAGGGTAGGAGAAGGACGGCAGCTCAGTGCAGCTTGAAGAGGACAAAACGTGTGATTCCTCACCTCAGACAACGCTTACCATGTCCACATGTTCAGCAAGACTTTTAAACTAAACTGGTGCAGACACAAGTCAAACACTCGGGCTCAGAGGATGGGACTAAGGGTGTCAGTGGGAAGATGCAGCCTCCAGGGCTTCAGGCAGCGCAGACTTCTTGGGGTCAGCATCCTGCTCTGGTGGGAGAAAGCTCACCTGCACATGTCTATTTTACACAGCTCAGCTGCAGGATGGGCATAGGGTATGTCATTATTGTTTCTTGAACAGTGTCAGCACTCTTCTGAGTGAGGCAGAGGAGTTCCTTCTTCTGTGTTCCTCTTCTGAGGCAGAGGAACCAGGTGAGGAGGGTCCTGGGAGTTTTCTTTGCTCTTGCCAAGAGAATCTGGATGGAAAAAATCCTGTAAACGAGGCAGGAGAGGGACACGTTCACACATTTCTCCCCTGGCAGGCCAGAGCCTGGGCAGGTCTCAGTATCCAGCACTGGCTGCTACAAGATGACTTTGTTCTTGTAAAATGCATTCAGCCAACATGAAATGAAAACAAATATCCCAAACCTGAAGCATTGCCACAAAGTATCCACACCACCCAGAATTATACAATCTTCTCTGGTGATTACAAAAAAAACTCATCAAACCCATCAAGGCTGGATCCCACACTCATCTTACAGAGAGACAGATAAGACACCTCCATCAGCAACCACAGCCCTGCATGCTGCATGGTCACAGTGTCCCTCTGCTGCCCAACCCAAACCTCCAGTGGCAGCTCCAGCACGGGCAGTGAGGAGGGGAGTGAGGAGGGAGCTGGACTTCCCCTGCAGCAGGGAGCAAGGTGATTTGAGGACACCCCACAGCTGAGTTTGGTGGGGATGGATGTTTCTGTGAGCCAGGCTGGGATGAGTGGCAGCAGAGCTCATTGCTGATTTTGTGCCCCTGTGCTCAGTGCACCATGTTTTCAGCCTGATTATCTCAGCTGCTTTTCCCAGGGCTGGATCAAATAACCATTCCTCAAGGCACAAAGCAGTGTGCCAGAATTACCAAGGACTCTTGACTGACTTTGGGGACAGGATCCAGAGGACTTTTTCCCGCTTTGGCCCTGAGCAGAAGTACCAAGTGATGGAGATGTGATGACTGCTGCAAAAAAAACAGATTTCCAGGATGAGCTCAAGGTTTAACATCATTCAACTGGGAATGAAGGGCTAGCAATATATTTTTATTTTATCATCACTTGACTGCTTTTATTGCAGCTGTTCTTGGCCATATTTTTGAATCCTCCTCTCAAATAAATGAAAACCAGGCAGAGGAATGGGCCCTCTGCCCGAGCGTGCAACAGTGCAGGTCAAACTCCCTGCCTGGATGCTCATCAGGGTGCCATGCCCAGCTCTGGCCACTTCCACCTTCCCAGCCTTTTGTTTTCTCTTGGGCTCTGCAGGCTGTGCCCCCTTGGTTCTTCCAGCTCATTCTTTACTTATGGCTCCTCGTCTTGCCACCTCATGGATATGGGACCTGCCAGCCTCCTCCTACTGCCCAGCTCAGCACTCCAACATTGCTGGTGCTCAGCCCTGGCTGCAACATCCCCAGCCTTGCCCAGGACCCCGCTGTCCGGGGGAGACAAATCCCCTGATCCCAGTCAGACCCCATCAAGCCAGATTCAACACTCCTCTGTATCCATCCCCAGATAGCCAACACAAAGAGGCACAGCTGCCTGTTTTTCCAAGCTTGGAGGACACGGGAGGCAGTGCTGGCAGCCAGGCCATTCCTCAAGGCACTGAGTGATGCAGAAGTTTGTAAGCCCAGCTCCAGTTCCCAGGTTGGATGGAGGTTCCCCACAGCAGAGGTGGATCTGCCTCAGATACAGACACTCAGGGATGTGCTGTGCTGAGAAACACTGCTGTGCTCTCATCTCTTCTGTTTGGCATCAAATATTTCCTGCTCAATTTGATAGCCCTGTAATTCTTTTCCCCTGGTGTCAAGGTGGATGAATAATCCTTTTGGCTTTAGGACATACCAGAGTGTCTGCCAGAATCATCAGTCCCTCTGTATTCTGGAGCAGAACAGCTTTTCCCACACTGACATCCGTGGATAGAGCTTACACCACTGTAATAATCAAGGGTATTTTCCTTCCAAAGAAGGAAATATCTAACAAAGACTGGAAAATCCATATAATTAGATCAAGGAATCACTTCAAGGGCTGGCAACTTCTTTTGAAAATGAGAGGTCTATCTTGAGCACTGAACTGTTTTATTTCAGCATGGAAATCACTCTTTCGGATCCTTTACTTTCAATAAAAAAATACACAGAGGAAAATCTGGGCTATCAGCCCAGGCTTGTAACAATTCAAGATTTTTTTTGGCTTTTCCAAGAGCACTTATTTCCAGATTCTGAGATGCTGGCAGTATAAATCTGGAAGCCATGGAAATTACGAGTTTCATGACACACGCATTTTATTCCAAACTCTTGTCGATAACATTAAACACAGGAAAAAGTCAGGACTTTCATCCAGCTCCTTAATTACCATTTGGAACCTGGCAACTGAAATAAGATCAAACTTTTGCATAGAAAAGGAAAAAAAATTTGCTATTACTGTGAAGAAAGATATGAGCCTTCAGACATAAAATGTAAACCGACATCCTATACGTGTCAGGAGGGATTGTTTCATGAGGCTGAACATAGTTATAAGCCAAGCCACGTGGCAGAAAGAACATAAACAGAAAACAGACCCTGAATATTCTAAACATGTGAACAACAGTTTACAAGACATCTGAGAAAATTGTTCAATCCTGCTATTAGTATCAAAGTTCTGCCAGTGAAAACATCTGCCTCGCCTAAGAGAGGAGTGAAAGGAAAACAAAAAAAGAACAAATGAAGAAAAGCTTCTATCAAAGGGCAGAAAAAGGCAGGAAAAAAGGCCTAAGGAAAAAACCCATGGTCATCAGGACAAAGCCAAAGTGATTTTAAATCCACGAGGAATGCAAAGAGCTTTACAGCAAGACATGGATATGTCTTGGATATAATATATGGATATTATTTGTTTTCCAAAATAATTATTTCATAAATAATGGAGACAAAGCAAATGAGGTCAGTAAACATTTTGGAGCTGTACTTAGGAAAAAGATATGCAATAGCCTATGATGATAAAATACTCTCTATTTCAACAGTAACTTGGAGGTGAAGTTAACCAGTAATGAAAAAGCACAGTATTTAAATAATGATGTCAAAATAATGTGCATCTAAGAATTTTAAAGGGTCTGGCCAAGAAATCAACTGGTGTAATAATTTTTCTTCCTCATAAGTCTTGAAATATTGCTTAGGTACCCCTGGTGCCACAGTTTTATTACTTCATAATTACAGACCCACCAATCTAATTTTGAGTTTGAAAACTTATCATTATGGCTGATACAAAATTGATGGTTAATGAACAATCATTAACAGCAGGTGATCCAATCCAGGACAGAAAAAGGAGATTTGCTGAAAGCAGATGTCACCAAATTCTTACCAAGCATTTGCACCTTGTGTTATCACTGTATGCCCTTGTCAGAAGTTCCTCTCCAGTTTTTTTTATCCTAGAAGTAATCTTTAGATATCATCTCAGCTAATTCAAGACAGAGAATTGTAATACCTTCCCAGCTAGCTTCTATTAGTACAGCACAGGCGAGAGAGAGCCACAAATTGAACATGGTATGAACATGATACATTATAGTGGGTGTATAAAATATGGGCACCTGTGGGAAAAGTTTTGGTTGGGGCTCAACTTCCTTCTTGCTGAGGACAGTAGGAAGGGTGATGGTCACTCACCTCCTCCTGGAGCAGCTGTGGGGTCCCTCTGTCCAGCTCTGCCTTTGCTGCAGCTACAGACACCTGAACAGCTCATTCCCTAAACTGTGGTTCCCTGCTGCTTGCTGCCTTCTTACTACTCTTTCATTCTCATTTTGTTTGCAGTTGAAGAACTGATCAAATAAGACAGAAGATCTCCAGGAAAAGTGTAAGTGAGGAAAAATCCTGTATTTCAAAAGGCAGCTTCATCTATCATACATGAACAAAATTTTCCTAACAACATGCTCTGTCTTGCTTCTGCATATTGAGATTTATTTCCCCACCTCTCACTTAGGGATTAGGGTGATTTGGCAGAGGAAAAATACCCATGGCCTCTTCTAACCTTATTAATGGAAGTTACTTAAAATTATTTAATAGTTTATAAAGAATACTGGCAGGAGAAAGGTCCTGTATGAATTCTAGATTGTACCAATGTATTGGTTTTCAATACAAATCACAGTTGGTTTAACAAAAGTTGGTTCCATGTGCAGGGAAACACCAGCAGCACACTGCCATGAAGAATCTGTCCTTCAGCAGTCAGCTCTGGGCCTCCCTGGTCTGAGTCAAAAAGGGTTAAAGCAGCAAGTAATGGCTGCCAACCTAGGAAAAAAAAAAGTAATTATTTATGGGAGAATGGCATCATTCATCATTTTTCACTTTGCTTTTCCCAATGAAATCTCTGAAATGACAAAACATGCTCAGCAGTAAGGGATGCAGGATTTTGGGTTGTGCTTAGAGAGTGGTTTTCAGGATGATGGATGGCTGCTGAGTGACTGAACTAACCAAGTCACAGAGCTGGCAATGGGATCAGCAGTGCGTTTGCAACCCCGTGTGCCTTTTGACAAGTTCCTCAACATCTCTGTGCTTCTGTGAGTAAAATGTGCTTTGCTGCTAGGTTTTTAAATGATGTTTCAGTTAGTCTTGCCTGCTGGCTTCAGACCTGCCAAATCCTCACTGCTGACACACTGTGTGTTTATTTACAGATGGACAGTGGTGCCAGGCAGCTCAAACACAGCTTTTAACAGTGCCAGGAACACTGGAGAGACAATGAGAGTTCGCCTCAAAGGGGATGTGATCTGCACCCTCTTCTTGCTGGTAGCGCTTTGTTCTTTGCTCTACTCCCAACTGGAACATTTAGTCCCGGCAGGAAAGAAGGAACCAACACAGAACAAGCCTCCAGTAGCACCAAAAATATCCTCCAGTCCCAGAGAACCTCGGAGGCTGATGCCAGCAGAGACAACTGCACCCAGACCCCAGGTTACTCCTGTCATGAGACAAACAGAAGTAGCCAAAAACAGAGTCCAAACTACAACTCCAGCCTCACTGACTGGTTCTGCCTTCAACTTCAAGCTCTATCTCCTAAACAAGGATAAAAGGAACTTCAATCTCCTCATCAACCAGCCCAGGAAATGCCGAAAACCAGCAGGAGGTCCCTTTCTGCTCATTGCTATCAAATCAGTAGTTGAAGACTTTGACAGGCGTGAGATTGTCCGGAAAACATGGGGCAGGGAGGGTTTGGTGAATGGGGAGCAGATCCAGCGAGTGTTCCTGCTGGGAACACCAAAGAATAGGACAGTGCTGGCAACATGGGAGACCCTGATACACCAGGAGAGTCAGACATACCGGGACATTTTACTCTGGGACTTCATGGACACTTTCTTCAACCTGACCCTGAAGGAGATTCACTTCCTGAGCTGGGCTGCTGAATTCTGCCACAACGTGAAATTTATTTTTAAAGGTGACGCTGATGTTTTTGTCAATGTTGAGAACATTGTTGATTTCCTCAAGAGACACGATCCCACTGAAGACCTCTTTGTTGGGGACATCATCTACAATGCCCGTCCCATCCGTGTGCAGAAGAGCAAATACTACATCCCAGAGACCATGTATGGGCTGAGCATCTACCCTGCCTACGCTGGAGGAGGAGGGTTTCTGCTGTCCAGCTGCACCATGAGGAAGCTCTCTAGGGCTTGCAGAGAGGTGGAGCTGTTCCCCATTGATGATGTCTTTTTGGGCATGTGCTTACAGAGAATCAACCTCAAGCCCATTTTACACGAAGGATTCAAGACCTTTGGCATTGTCAAGCCTTCTGCTGCCCCACACCTACAGACGTTTGATCCCTGTTTTTACAAAGATCTCATGGTAGTTCATAGCCTGAAAGTTGCTGAGATCTGGCTAATGTGGAACCTGCTCCACAGCCCACGGCTTTCCTGTACTCAGAAGAAGCAGGTGAAGAAGCCTTTCCAGTGGAAGAAGAAAGCTCAGATAACAACACCAGGGTCACCCCTCAGATAATGCAGGCAGAGTGCAGCACACACAGCAAACCAGCTAAGAAAGGGAACCTGGAACCAACACAGCCCAACAAACCAGCTTCTGAGGAGTTCAGCACAGCTTATTTACAATGTTAAGAGAAGACAACAATTGCAGGAATTTGCCCAAATTCCACATTTGCACGTACATATCATGTGGGTCCTTCTGTACTAAAGAGTCTAAATAATCATATCTATAATTTATTATTATTTATTAGGATTATAGTAGTGCTTAGTGGGACAATGTTTAAAAGCACATTGAAAAATGCAGTCCATGGAGATTTTTCATCATGGTTAGAAGTGTCAGGAAAGAAACAAGACCTAGGACAAGAACAGACACTGGGGAGCACAGGGATCATTGTCAACTTGACTTGGACTCATTGAAAAATGACCAGACAATAAGTAGGGTACAGGAAATCGAGTCCCCTTAGTGTCTGCTCCAATCACATCACTGCTGCCTGGTTGGTTTTCCACAGGTCTCCTAACAAGACAACAACAAACAGCTGCTGAAATGAGTAGATTTACAAAAGGCCTTTAGAGAAAAGACAAGAACTTTGAGTTGATCACTTTGAGTCTTAATTTTTCATCATTCTTCTCAGTTCATGTATCTGCTCTACTGACATGATTCAGGGAGCAGTGGAGCAGGTTTTGGCACTTTCCTGAGCTCAGGCTCTCTGCACTATGCTGGCTGATTAAGGGAAAATTCAGAAGTCATTAACAGTATTTAAATGCTCTCACAATCTGACCTAGATTTTCAGAAGGTTTGCATCTGGAGAGATCCTTTGGCCTTTACTTATAAATGTAACCCCACACAGAGCTGCTGCTTGCATCACATTTGGGAGCTGCTTCAAACCAAAGAGTGGACTGGTTTCTACAGATCTTGGTGCTCTTGCTTAGCACCGTGAGCTGCAGAGAGCAGCCAGGACTTTCAGATTGCTGTGGGTGTCACATGAAAGGAGAAAGGAGAAAGTTTTCAGACAAAAGGATTTCAGAATAAAAGTCCATCTAAATTTATTGCAAGAAATCAAAACCACGCAGCAATCTTTCTGTTGAGCTTTCCAAGGCTCAGTCGGGAACTTTGTAAGTATTTTAAGCATCAGACAGGAACACTGAATTGCTCAGATTTTCAAAGTATAGTCCAGACTTCAATACATTTTGTTTTGCCTACAAGCAGACCACCTTAGAAGATTATACTTTTATCAGATATCAAAGCAGAAGTGAATTCCTCTAAATCAGGGTTAAAAAGCTATGAAATTCACGGGGCAAAGAGCCTGAATTCACCTCTGATACTATGTTTGTTAATTCTTTTACAAGTTTTTACCCCCTCAACAAAACTCCCGTCCATCAGAGAACCCCTTGGGATGGCACATCCACGCAGCTTTAAAAGAAACTACAACCAGTCATAAAAGCCCAAAATTCCTTTCACAGCTGCATTTCATATCCGTGTGTAAGATCCCTCCCACCCCGCAGCAGTTTGGGCTCAGTACTGGTACTAACAATGCACAGAGAGAACAGCAGCCTGGGAGTGTCTATGGCAGACTGAATAACAGCTTTACACATTAGTGATCATCAACAGATCAAGCCTTACAATAATGTATTTCCAAGAAAAGGTCAGCTATATAGAAATGGAAAGATTTCTACATTTGGGATATTTTCAGGATGCAATCCTGAAATACAAAATGTTCACATGAACTTCACAAGGAGTTTGTGGGACTAAGCCAAAGCCTCACTGGTAGGACAAAGTCGCCCCTGTCTGCTAAAATGTGTGATACTTGTGTATTTATGAGATTGTACAGAAATGTATTACCTGTGAGTAGTTTACAGTTTGGGAAATTATTTATACCATCATTAAAAAACAGCATGCAGACGTGCCTCTAGTTGTCAAAGTAACTTTGTCAAGTACACCTGCACACATGTGTACACCTGTACACTTGTTGTAAGACTGAAACCACAGGGATTTTTCATGAAGATAGTAACATGAAAAATACATTATTCATTATTTTAGATAAATTGGTAAGTCTTTCCTTATGCTGGACTTGATTTAATGGCAATGACAGAAAAATAAACATAATTTACCTTGCAATTTCCTATGAGGCAGCTAGTCAGGTTCAGCAGTCCTTATTAAGGTTTTCCTTTTTTACTTGAAGATGCAGAGAGTGGCTTCTCCCTCTATAATATCTTCAGATCTGCAATCTATCCACAACACAGCATTAACGAGTGCATTTTGTTCAACATCTGTTTTGACACAGCCTGTGCCAGCACATACCCTGATGGCAGAAACAGAACTAAACTGTTCACTCCATTATCTTAGTCTATAGAATAGCTTTTTTCTTTTATCCACTGAATACCAGAGTCTCTCTTGATGAAAGATCCACCTGCTTTTGTTCTCCAGCCTCTGCTGCATGGCCTGTTTGACCTGGCTTTAAGTTTCCATTTGCCTCTGCAGCTGAGCTGGAAGTTCACAGATGCCATATGTGAGCATAATGCTCTGGGGGAATGCTGAGAGCCGTGCTGCAACCCCTGCAGTTTATTGCATTCTGCTTACTGCTATAGAAGGCAAAGGCTTTGATTTCACCCCAGCTGGAGATTGTTTCCTTAAGGATGAGTCTTTTCAGAAAATCCTAAAGCTCCAGGTGTGTATGAGAACTGGCAGGAAGGACCCTCTACTGATCTTTCTGATGTACTGCAGAAACCCAAAACCATCCTTCTCATAATGACATTCTGAGTAGGTTTTATTAACTGGCTAATTGAGTGCACCAGTCTTGCTATAAATCTTTGCTTGGCAATTTTTTTTTATGACTAACCTAGGAAAACATAAAATCATCCAAAGTGGGTTCGGTAGCAAACAAGGCAAGCAGACTTTCTCAGTATAAATTTTTTAAACTAGTAGTTTTATTATTATTATAGTACAGTAAGTTTTATTGAGTCCTAAGGATCCATACAAAGTCAAGTTTTGTTCCTGCTGTACAAAAGTAGCCAGATTTGGTCACTCTAATGAGCAGAGCTGGCTTGAGCCTCACATTCAGCACCTCCAAGTGCATCTCTGGACACAAGAACTGGTAGCAAATGCCAAGATCCGTCATTTGGTCAAACCACCGCAGACTCAGACATCATAAAAAAGAAAGCCAAAGAGGACTCTGAAGCAATTCAGTATTAAAATCTTGTGCTTCCTGTCTGCAGCTTAATTATTCATCTTTCTACAGCAGGTTCTCAGAAGCAAACCTCAACTGCAAACTCAAACAGTACAAAATAATCAAACGGCTCAGAGAACCTTCACTAAATATCAGAACTGAGAACATTCCCTGGGGAGTGCTGAAAGACCATCACATCAGAGAGAAAAAAAGTATATCCCAAAGCCCAGCATGAAAAACTGCTGATCTGCTGAGTTGAACCTCTTACAGCTGGACTTGCAGGTCTAGCAGCCCAGAAAATCAGTCCACCACATTTCCCTAATGATGCTACTAACTGCAGCCACAATTTTAAAATCCAGTAAAACCTTTAAATGCAATTCATTACTTTCTAGGCTTATGATCAGTAAGAAAAACATACTGGGGAATGAGAGAGGAAAGTGAAGAAGAACGTTAACCCAAAGGAGGAGCACAACCGAGCCCCTCCAGGAGTGGCAAACAGCTCCCCCACATTCCTGGCCAGCCCAATGCTCTCTCCAAACCATTCAGACTCAGCTCACGGATCTGCTCTCTCCCCCTCCCTTTCCCAGCCCATCTGTTGACAATCCATGTGCTAAAACCTTGGAAAAAACATAACACAGGTTTGCAGTAACCTTGTCCCGGGGGGGCTGCCTGAGCTGGGCAATCAAGGTGTGACAATAAGACAAATGGTGTCTACAGCCATAGAAGCAGAAAAGGGTGGAATAATCTCTATAGCCTCCCTACTTGTGGATGCAGCAGAGCTACTCAGCAAGGGACAGGATAAATTCAGGATTTCTGGGCTGCAGTTTTTCTGAGATGAGCAGAGGGGAAAAGGGAATAGAGCAAATCAGGCTGGTTTGATTATTGAGTTGATTAGACTGCACATTGCATAATCATACAGGTTTTTTTGTGATTGGTATTTAAACTAAAATTCTCTCTGAAGGATAATAATATGAGAATGAAACTTATGCACTCAGTGGAATATATATATATATATATATATATATATGGTGTGGGTGTAAAGCATTAAGGCACTTAAAATTAGCTTCCAGAATTGCAATATGCAGTACTTTAAAATAACTAAAGGAGTAAAATTTAAAGGGGAATTCAGTAATGTATGAGATAGAAAAGATTACATTAAACCATTACAGCTAGTCCAGAACAGAGTTACTGTAATAATGGAATCTTACACCACAGTGAGTGCCCTACTCTGCAAACTCCAGCTTACTTTTCCTGCTGTTTCAAGCACTTGTTTTTTCCAGATCATAAGGAAAAATAATTCTACCTGCTGAAAAAACAGACATCCCCATAAACACCACAAGAGCTTGTGATATAAGGTTTGGTAGATAAACATGCTAACAGTGACTTTATTAGTTACAGCAAAAATTCACATAGGCAAAGAATATGGTATTAGGTTGCACCTGAGCCCTCCAAGTAACACAAATCTTTAATGGGCTCTGCTTCACTGAGCCTATTTTTAAAGCTTAAGAGTTACATCTCTAGTAAGCTCCATCTTTTATTTTCCCTTATTTTACTTCAGCCTTACCTTCTCTCTGAAGCAACCTGGTTCACACTTTCCATGAAAAGAACCAACCAGAACTAACCAGTATTTTAACTCCTCAGACACACTGTGAGGTATTGATTTGGCTACATGTTCTGTGTCAGATTGTGTCTGACAGTCAGGCAGAGGGGAGGGAGCTTTACACTGGTGTAATCAAGGGTTTTAAAAAAGGTGTTTATTGGGCAAAAGTTGGCACAGAATAATTGTAACTATCATAGAATAATGTTTCTTGCATCATAACATCAAAAATTATTCTGAACACAGCCCACGTGAAATTGTGCCAAATCAGACAACTTGGTCTTTGCCCAAATACTCTGGAGAAGCAAGCAGAGAGGGCTGGAAAATAGCATTTCTTTCAAAGTAAGAGCCACTGAGAGTAAATTTGCATGTGTGAGTCAATGTACATTTTGAGTCACCAAACACAAAAACCTAACAGAACTTCTGGCTTAGAGTAGTTAAGTGACAAACAGGTTCTAAGAGCAGGTAGAAAGTCAAGTGTGAAGGGGGCAGCAACACCCTTGATTTCCCTCGGGAAAACAGCAGCTGGCCCCTAACCTCCAGCAATGATGAATCACCATCTTCCAGTGCTGAAGGATTTGGTTTTAAACAGGTTGGATGGGAGCTCTGCAATATGAACGATCATGATCACATGAATCAGTTCTCACACACCATATGATTACTCTTTCAGGAAAAAAAAAATCTGTTTAGAATTAGAAATGTGACAGTTCCTGGCAACAGAAGATTGATTTTTCTTGTCAGGAACTGCATTTTGGGGAACAGAGGGTTCTAGTATTACACAGGAGCACTTATCTGTGGCACTGCCTGGAGCCATCACAGGAGCCCAGAGATTACTTGAAGGCCTGAAGAATACAGGAAGAAATGCCAGCTTCATCTCCTCAAAGAAAGGCACAACCATCACTTTTATTAAGTGTAAACAAATGAAATATTGTGGACAGTACTGCAATATTCAAGTTAAGCAGACATACACAAACTCTTCACTTCTTTACAAAGGAAAACAGCACACATCAGAAGGGGATCATATGCACTACATATTTTATTAAAAATGCAATTGTACTTAACTTTATATCAAACAGTTTTATCATATGAAACCAAAATGATGGACCAATGCACATGTTGCCATCATGCAGGATCTATATCAAACCACACAGGATTATTTCAAGGAACAAGGCCACCTGGCAAAATGGGATCTGATGCAGCCCAAATCACTCAGTTCCTTTGGGAAGGGGATCAGAGGTGGCCCCTTGCTCCCCCCTGAGCAGCCCTTTGCACAGAGCAGCTCTTGGTTCAGATGAACTGCCTTGTCCCAGCCTCCCTTCTTGCTACACTGCCTTGCCTTGTCCCCCAGAGCTCCTCTACTCCTTCCTCTATTCTTTCTGATTCAAACCCAGCATCAGTCCCCTTTACCCATTGCTAAACTTCTCATGCCAGCAAGTCCTTAAATGCTCCACAGTGCTTCTCTAATGCATCAGTTCAGGAACAGCTTGGCTTAGTCTGGATAAGAGCAAACAAATCAAAACATCTCAGACAAGAGAGTTGTGAACAGCTGCATTCACAAAGGGTGGGTGAGGAAACCCATAAGAGCAGCTCCTTTATACATTATCTCTCCTCTTCAGATCTGCCTCTCCCAAAAGTCAAATGCTTTGAGCTCAGCCAGCAGCAACAGCCAAGATGCAAAACTGCCTTTGTGCAGAGAATTTTTCAATATCAAAGGGCTGACCTAGAAAAGTATATGGGTTGTTAAGAGAGAACTGTTAATTACCAATATTATTTTAGTCACTTGGACTCACCAGAGCATTACAAGTGAAGCTGGAAGCCACTGTACTTATTAAATACCTTCAGTTAGCTGCTGCTCCTGTCCTAAGTCTCAGGGTTCATGCTACAGCAGCAGGCCTGACCTCACTCTTCTGAAGAAATTTAACTCAGTATGCTTGAGAGCAGGATATTGGTGGCATCTGCATACCATTACTCAAATCATCCCATCAAGGATTTATCTCCTCTTGCAGCTTATTTGGAGCCTTTATTAAAAAAGGATGAATTAAAATCAATTGAAGTTAGCTTCAGGATTGCTGTCACATTTTAGTAACAAGAATCAGCATGCACAGCATCTCAGTTCATAAAATTCTGCAAGAGCACACTGAGC